GGATTCTGTGATGCATCACCGCTATAAAGCATATACTTAGTAGGAGAATAAAAGCATTGTTCATATTCCCTGTCTGCCCTGTCATCCCTCAATTTTCTGCACCTTTCTACTTAAGCAGTATTGTAAGCTGAGCAGCTTTTAGAAATGCCTCTGGCCTTCCTTATTCAGCATTAGAGAAGCATTAGAGGATTCAGTAGCCTTTCTGGTGACATCTGTGTAGCCATTTTTTATCAGCTGTCTTTTACATCTGGTTTGTTAGTTTAAAGCTCGACTCCATATATGATTACTTTGCATTTGTGGAATGTTTTTGTTCAGCTTTTCTGTAGGTCAAAGTAGACCCCTTTTACCTTTTTAAGAAAAGCCCAATTTGAGTTGTTCTTGGGCTAGTTTTAGCAAGCAGCATTAAGCAATAGTCAGTGAGGATTCTCATTTCTTGTTATGGAATATTCTGTCAGATTCTGAACACCAAAGTAAAGGCAATCTTGATTTGAAATTCTTACTGTTTTAATCAGGTGAACTTCATTCTGACCCCCATTTCTGTCTTTGCTGTAGTCTTTAACACGGACATGTGTGTGATACTGAAGTCTGCTTGTGTCAGATAAATGATTATTATCTTGCTTGTCCTGAAAACTTTGTAATTACCAATATTCTGTTTGAAAAACATAATATCAACTCCTGTTGAACGTATCAAAAGTAATTATGGATAACTGCCCTGTCATGTCAGTTAATTGAATTGCATATCCTTGACAAGAAGGTTCATCAAAACTGGCCAAGAGAGCAGAAGGTGGTGACAGGGCAATCTCTCTCAACTAACAATGTTTTTGAAATGCCAGACTTAATCAGCTGGAGTTGGCTTTATCCTTCATTCATCTTTCTTGTATCGATGGCACAGAGAAATTAGCTGCCTTGCTTATAAATGAAATGTTAAACAACTTTATTTTGAATTGCCACATTTAATTATGCAGATGATATAATTTGCTTTGATAGAATTAGTACAGTGCTAGTTTAGTTTTCCTATTCAGATGAGCTGTGCAATATAGCTGTCTGAAGTAGTCATACATTCAAGGAATATTATTGTTTTAAAAAATCCTTATTCTGCCTGCCAAGTGGAATCGAGTCCACAGCACCACTCTGATCCCTCTATTCAATAAATACAGTATCTCAAAATACTCAGTGTTCTAAATAGCAGTGGAATAGCAATTATAGCAATAAGATCTGTGTGCTCGATACTGTTTCTGACATCTGTAATATATACATTCCCAAAAGATCTGGACTGATATGATGTGATCAGAATATATTCATATGATCATGTTTTGGTTTTTCAGATATGCCTCTAAAATCAACTTGATACCATTTAATAGATTTTGTATTTTGTTACTAAAACTAGCCCTAAAGATGATTAAAAATAAAAGAAAGACTATATTATGGTCAGGGGTGATGGACCAGTGTTTTGTAGCATCACACTATTGCAGAGACTCCAAGGTAGCGCCGACTGAATGAACATGGAACTTGTTCAGTACTTGGTTGGGTTCATTAGTCCACTCTGTTGCTCAGAGGAAGCAAAATACAGCACTGATAAAACTATACCCCTTCTAGGATCTAATCTGGAACTTCCATAGAGCTGTATGCTGTGCTCTGTAAACACACCTAACTAAATGCTACTTTAGGTATCTTCATGGTGAGGCTGATCTTAAGAAAATAAGTATTTAAAAATAAATAAATAGATTTGCTTGGAATATATAGCATGTAGGCGAGATGGCTAAGAGGGAATATTACTGAAAGAAATGAGGTAAGCCCAGAGGTAGTGCTAGCAGCAGAAAGCAGGTGCAGTTTATGCTGTCGGAATGTGGGTAGGATGACAAAGCAAAGAGGTTTTGGAGTAAAGGTCTGGAACAAGCTTCCTGCTGAGTTGGAATTTGCAAGTTTTTAAAAACAGCTTGATGAACTGTGAATGATTATATTCATATGGCATGTGGTAGCAGGAACACACCTGACATTAACAGGTCCTTCCACTCCTGTTTCATTTACAGAGGTAAGATGGGAAATATTTACAAAATAAGGCCCTCTGCTACGTGTAAGGTCCATAACTAAACATCAAATAATGAATATCAGGAGCACAAACTTTCTTGGTTTGAGAAATCACTTTATCAGTTCATCTTCATTTCCCCAACACTGGACACGTTAAAGATTCAGCTGGATGGGTTACTGGGCCATCTTGTCTAGATTGTGCTTTTGCAAAGAAAGGTTGGACCAGGTGCTCGTTGATGTCCCTTCCAGATTGGTATTCTATACATTTATGATTTAACCATTAAAAGCTACTTTAGGGTAGACAAAAATCAAAATTTGTATTTAAAAGTTGTAGAAACCTATTGAATGAATCTTGCTTACAGATAAGAATCAGAATTTTCCTGTGCATAACTTGGCAGTTTACTTGCTTTGCTTTTGAAGATTTAAGTGTTGCATAGGCTTGCTCCAACAGGGATTATACAAACAAGAAAAAAGCGTTGGTTTTTTTTTTTAAGATTTTGATGTAAATTATTTTAGAAGGAAATAAACCTTCCTCTGAGTTATGTGCAACTTAACGTCATTATGCCAGTGCAGGGGAACTAGAAAGTAAATTTGACTGAGCAAGGCTGAAACAGACCAGACCTCTTTACAGCTGAGAGTGAAATGTAGGATTTAAGCAACCAAGCTGGTAATGTAATTTTTATCTAAAAATAATTAGATTTCCACCTGTCTCCAGTCCTGAATAATAAGTGTAAAAGCTTTTCAAGGAATTTGTTTCAATTTTTGGCTTGATTTCAGCCCTCTGAAGTAATGTCTAGCTGACTTCCTACCTTAATAGCTGCTGAAAGTTTCTTGAACTTGTGCAGACCTACTGTATGGTTACTGGGCCAGCTTAGTCATTCTTCTTATCCTTTCAAAGGGTATAATAAATACTTGTGGCAAGGCAATACAAAACTTGTGTTTACAGCATGGGGATGACCTGGCCACTTAAGGTCGAGGCGAACCCTTGTAGTACATAGATCCTGAAAGAAGCAATGGTAAGAGTCCTGCAGCTGTGAGGGGATAAAGAAATGGAAGCTAGGCACAAAGGATGGATTTGGGAATCCACACTTTACTCTAGGGCTGGATTTCTTCTTCAGTCCTTCACCTGTGGTGTAGTCTGGAGGGACATTTTTTACACACAGCAGCAGCATGTAGCCCAGCAGTGTGGCTTGTGCTGGTGTCTACATCTTTCCTCATTAAGTAACTTAATTTATGCCTAATCACTTAAAAGTAATCACAGAGGCTGAGGTGATTACATACCCAACCATACATATGCCATCTGTTTCTAATATGTATGCAAGAAAAATTCATATTCCTTTATAGTACATGCAATTGAAATGTTGACTTTATAGAAGATACTAAATACAATTTCTGTCACTGATACTTGTTTTTTTTTCCCAGCATTAGACTGCATGTAGACACTAAAGTTTCTTCTCTGTCTGGCGGACCAGGCATTGCAGTACCATTTGAACATAAGGATTGTGCCCAAAAATGCTATCGATTTACTTTCTTGTGTTTGCTTAGTTTTCATACCTCTCAGTTTCATTTCATGGAACCGCTAGTAAAGAATTACTAATATTTTTGCTGTTGTGATATTAATCAAGAGGTAAAAAGTTTTTGAATTCCAAAAGCTGTAGGATTGTTTTCATGGAAATGCACTGTTCTTAAGTCTCAGAAGATATCCCATTAAAAACAAAAATGCACATAGAGGTGACTGGTGTTTCCAAAAGAGCTATGCATGAAATACAGTGGGTAGAACCCTGGATAAAAGTGTCAGCAGGTACTTGCTCTTTTTATTTATTTTTACTTGTACTATTAATTTTCAAACTGACACCACAAAAATGTCTGTGAAAGGTGAGCTAGAAATAATTTTCATTACGGACTCTACATGTGACTGAATTTGATTTACTAGTAAAAAAGCTTGGGATGACAGCCTTTACGTCTTTTTATTCTTTGTACTTTGCATGGTTGCTTAACAGTCCTTCTTCCCTTGTATCTGGTGTGTGATCTTGTGGAATCCTTAGGCTTATAGTATTTTGTCTCCATTTGGTAGTGGTGCTTATAACAGGGTAGGGTTGCATACTAAAAGGTAATGTTCTTACCAGCTAAAGGAAGGTCAAAGCCTCAAGAATTATTTCTATGGAATGTTCTTCCTACAATACTGTACCTCATGGGTGATCCTGAATCCCAAAGCCCTTGATTTAAAATTGGATTCCATACGGCTATGCTGCCAGTAGACTGTGAGGCAGATTGAAATGGTTTGCTGTTAACACCATCAAAATGTATTTTCAGTAGAAGTATTGAGCAACTGAGACTACAATTTGTAGCAACAACCTAATAAGCAAAATGTCACATACTAAATGTGGTTTATATCTCTCCTGCTGTTTGAGAATGTGATCAGCTCTGTAGAGATGTAGCCTGCACTTTGGTCTTCTCAGGCTCATCAGTTTAACATTTTTCAGCTCTTCTAGAAGATCAGATTGCCTTGGAAACCTTTTTAAAAACACACTTTAATTTCTGTGCCATTCTGTCAGTCCACTCAACATAAGTTAGCTTTGTTCTCTTCATCACTCAGAATAATTTAAATGCACTTCACTCCATTTTGACAGGAATCATCATGGTTTGATTGCATGAAATAAAAACAACATTCTTTCCCATCAGACATTCAAAACCCAAATGAAATTTAAATGTTGAAAGCTGCTTCCTCAAACAGTGACAAAAAAGTAGTCATGAGTAAATGAGAGCTGAAACATTTCAGTCACACTTAGTTCCACAAATAGGTTTCACTTTTGGTCAGGCTTCCTGTATTTTGTGAGCTTACATGTGTTCAACAGTGTGCTATGAACAGCAGCAACAGTTACTTTAATTTTTTAATCATGTGGCAAAGCAGTAAAATATCTATAATGTATTTCATGGACAAAGATTCCAAACTGTCTAACTTATTTCAACAGGCAAGCAGTCCTACAACAGGAACAGCTCCCAGGAGTCAGTCACGGTTGTCTGTCTGCCCTTCCACTCAGGACATTTGTAGGTATGTGCTGAGAGAAATACACTCTAATCTGGTTGATACTTTTTAGTTGTTTTTATTACATTATACGTAGCTCTTGCTTCTGCTTAATACTATTCATAATTTACATAGACTTTAGTTTTCTTTTGGTCTCTTTTTGGTTTGGTTGTGTTTTTGCTTTTCAGTCTCATGTTTTTCTATTAAAATTCATATTTTCATTTTCCTTCTTATTTTTTGCAATTTCTCTCCTTCCACCCACCCTTATCATTTCCATCCCTTTCCTTTGCTTACTGCTTTGTCTAGATCTACTACCTTGCATGATTTGTCAGAAGATGAGCTTGAACATGCAACCCCTGTTATGGTGTTGACCCCTTCTAATAGGGAGTCTGGTAAGAAACAAGTAAAACGAAGGTTTAGGCGGAAAAGAGAGACTGGAGACACTGGTGAGCATGCAGAAAAGCAAAGAAAAGGGAAAGACTGTAAACTGCATCCTGAGCCTGCAAGGTCCAGTTGGAATGCATCTGATTCATCATCATCTTCGGATGAGAGTCAGTGGGCTCAGGCTAGGAGGAGAGCAAGAGAAAAGGCCAGAATACCCAGGAGAGGGAGAAGGAACACTAGATCATGCATTAACCAGGATGGGTCCTCAAACAATAATGCTGTTGAACTTGTCACTTTGGGGACAGTGGGGAAAAACAAGCAAGAGGTATCTGACCCTGAGAATCCTACTTTAAATCACCGCCGAAGAAGGGTTCCAAGGCTAAAGGAATCACAGTCTTCAGTGTCATCTCAGGAAGCAAGGATTTCCTCAAGAAAATGTGGAAAAAGCAAAGGAAAAAGCTACTATGGAGATCGGCACCCTGCATCTTTCTTTAGACACAGTAAAGATTTGAAGGACTGCTTTGCAGAGGGAGGCTCTGGGAGTGATGCTCTGGCAGTCCCCAATAATGGAGCACCTGCTGGGGCAGGGCCCAGTGTGACTGACGATGTTCAGAAGCCTTCAGTGTTGTATGATGACTTATCTGATGATTTAGAAGTATGCAGGTTAGTCCCTAATAAGAAAGATTTAAAATTCTTAACAAGACTTTCACACAGCCATGGGTTGGGTGCCCCTCTCTTGACTGCTTTCTGTCACACAAAAGCCTTTGCTACAGAGAAGTTAGAGTCTCTCAGGCTGGAGATATACTTCCCTAATTTAAAAACAGTAATCCTACAAGGGAGCTAAATTTTTTTTTTGATCCATTTTTCTTCATGAAGACAGACACTCTGTGTCCTGTGGCAGCATATTACTGCATTCTAAATCTCCAGCCAGAGGCAAAGAATGAGGCAGAGTTCCAGATAGCTCAATACAATGGGATATGGAGTTTTTCCTCCTTAGGTGATAAGTTCAAATCCAGCTTTGGTCCCTCATTGTTATTTTTCATTGACTTACATGAAATAAATTTATGGTCTTGATTCAGTGTCCTCTAGAACTGTCATTATCACAACAAGCTGATGGTCGGTGCCTACACGCTTTCCAGTCAGGCATAAATTGTACAAGACTGCACTGCTGAGCAGCTCTGCACTGTGAACATGTAGGGGCTCTTATTTTGGTACCCATGACAGGAATTAGAATGGTACAAAGGATGAGTGGTCAGAATAAGCATTAAAATAGAGTTTGGGATAGAAAAAGCAACACCAGCAGTTCTCTGTTTCAGAAGTTCAGGCTTCTGACAGTCTGAAACCCCTGGTGTGATGCATGAAATCAGAAAGTGAGCATTTTCCTCTGGTAATGAGAGCAAGCTGGCTTCTGAGCAAGAGTCCAGATTTAGACAGCTGGGTGTACTTGAGTTACTTAACATAGTGGTAAATGAAAACGTGCCATCCTGTAAGTTTAACAGAACTGAAACAAGTATTTCTTTCCTTTTTTTTTTTTTTTTTTTTCTCCCCAAACTTGTGAGCCAGCATCGACTTTTATTTACAAAGTATAAAAAGAGGATCAGGCTTAGTTTCTTTATAATGGTAACCCAACACTTCACATTTACCTTTGCTGGGAAGAAATTTGCATGGAAATGTAAACACAGTCAAAATGAGGAAATTTGTGATGCCACATCTTGAAGTTTCACAGTATACTTCAACTTAGTAACACACTACAAATACCCTAGTTTTAAAATGGAAAAAGGTTTGCCATGTAGGCATGGTTCCTTTCAGAGCAGGAGACATAGCCATTGCTAATACAGCTGCTGCTATGCACTTCTTGTTGCACTTGTCAAGCAATAAGGGATATTTCAGTTGTCTGACCATTGTCAGTCATGATCATTTAAGACTATTCAGAGTAAAGAAAGCCCTGCTGTATTTGTACACCAGTGTGTATATCAGGACCATACTGCTGGCTTGGGACCTCTTCATCTTATGCAAATGCAGAGAAACAGCAGCAATGGTAATAACGTTATACATTTTTTAAGCACTTCATATATGTCTACATGGTATGATGCAGAGACGTGCACAGATAACTACTTCAACAACTTCAGAATTAAGACTATGAGCTACCCAAAACCTGAAATAAATTATTTCAGCACAGGCTTTTATATGGGCTTAACTATACTGTGTTAAAAAAAAAAAAAAAAAAAAGGAAAGTCAAAGTTTTGTAACTGTTTCAAGTAGATTAATACTAATGGTTCCCCAAGTCCCCAGACTTAGACTTTGCTTTCAGATGGAAAGTGGACTCTAGTATTTTGTATCTTCTCAACCCATTTGATTTTATTACAGTTATTTAGGCTTTTTTAGTTAAGACTTGAAGTTTAGTTCAAGAGTGGATTTTTTGGATGTGCATGCAAACTTTTCTTATAGGCTTTTGTCTGGAAGAGGAAGGTTGAAACCTTTTGATAGGTAAGTGTTCCTAGGCTTACTGTCAGTGGAGATGCTCCTTGAACAACCAGAGTTAAACTCAACAGAGTTGATAACCTGGTCTATTGTGCAAAATTTGTCAAGAAAATCATAACTCATTTTTTCTCCATGTCAGGGGTAATGCTTTTATGTTGTTGTCATTCATAGATATAGCACGGTGATGATAATGCAGCCATGAAAAACATTTTAAAAATTGAAAACATGTTAATTTTTCATCATTGCTAAGTTGTCTTAATCAGTTTGCAGACAGCAGAAGACAAAGGAAGACATGTTTTTACTACTGATTCATTATACAATCATAGAATAGTTAGGGTTGGAAAGGACCTTAAGATCATCAAGTTCCAGCCTGCCACCATGGGCAGGGACATTTCCCACTAAACCATGTCACCCAAGGCTCTGTCCAACCTGGATTTGTACACCACCAGGGATGGAGCTTTCAGAACTTCCCTGGGCAACCCATTCCAGTGCCAAACCACCCTTACGGTAAAGAACTTCTTCCTTATATCCAGTCTGAACTTCCGCTGTTTAAGTTTGAACCCATTACCTCTTGTCCTATCACTACAGTCCCTATTGAAGAGTCCCTCTCCAGCATCCTTATAGGCCCCCTTCAGATACTGGAAGGCTGTTATGAGGTCTCCACGCAGCCTTCTCTTCTCCAAGCTGAACAGCTCCAACTTTCTCAGCCTATCTTCATACAGGAGGTGCTCCAGTTCCCTGATCATCCTCGTGGCCCTCCTCTGGACTTGTTCCAACAGTTCCATGTCCTTTTTATGTTGAGGACACCAGAACTGCACACAGTACTCCAGGTGAGGTCTCACGAGAAGACTAGAGGGCAGGATCACCTCCTTCAGCCTGCTGGTCATATTCCTCTTGATGCAGCCCAGGATACAATTGGCTTTCTGGGCTGCGATCACACACTGACCGCTCATGTTCATTTTCTCATTGACCAACACCCCCAAGTCCTTCTCCACAGGGCTGCTCTGAATCTCCTCTCTGCCCAACCTGCAGCTCTGTCTGGGATTGCTCCATCCAGGTGTAGGACCTTTCATTTGGCATGGTTAAACTTCATGAAGTTGGCCTCAGCCCACCTCACAAGCATGTCAAGGTCCCTCTGGATGGCATTCCTTCCCTCCAGCGTATCAACCGAACCACACAGCTTGGTGTCGTTGGCAAACTTGCTGAGGGTGTACTCAATCCCACTGTCCATGTCAGCAATTAAGATGTTGAACAAGACCGGTCCCAACACCAATCCCTGAGGGACACCACTACTGGTCTCCAGCCGGACGTTGAGCCATTGACCACAACTCTTTGTGTGCGGCCATCCAGCCAGTTCTTTATCCACCGAGTGGTCCATCCATCAAATTGATGTCTCTCCAATTTAGAGACAAGGATGTCATGTGGGACAGTGTGGAATGCTTTGCACAAGTCCATGTAGATGACATCAACTGCTCTACCACTGTCCATCAGTTCCGTAGCCTTATCGTAGAAGGCCACCAATTGGTCAGGCAGGATTTCCCCTTAGTGAAGCCATGGTGGCTGTCACCAAGCACCTTGTTGTTTTTCATGTGCCTTAGTATGCCTTCCAGGTGAATCTGCTCCAAGATTTTGCCAGGCACAGAGGTGAGACTGGTCTGTAGTTCCCTTGGTCATCCATTTTCCCCTTCTTGAAAATGGGGGTTATATTTTCCTTTTTTCCAGTCATTTGGAGCTTCACCTGACTGCCATGTTTTCTCAAATATGATGGACAGTGTCTTGGCAACTTCATCTCCTTCAGGACCCGTGGATGGATTTCATCAAGTCCCATTGACTTGTGTACATTCAGGTTCTTAAGATGGTCTTGAACCATATCCTCTCCTACAGTGGGCCTTGGGTCTTCATTCTCCCACTCCCTGAGTCTGCCTTCCAAGTCTTGAGTGGTACGATCAGAGCCTTTACTGGTGAAGACCAAGGCAAAGAAGTCATTCAGAACCTCAGCCTTCTCCAAATCCAGGATAGCCAGTTCTCCTGATAGCTTCCGGAGGGGGCCCACGTTGTCCCTACTCTGTCTTTTGTTCGCTACGTACCTCTAGATTATAGATTGTAGGGTCTGTTTTTCAGGATGGGTCCATGCACTTAATTAGGTCACTATCTGTGGCATGGTTTTCTTCAGATTCACAGTCTTGCATCTGAAGCAAAAAAATAGTTACATTTCAGTGCAGACGTGCACATACACAGTAACCATTTTTCTGCATGAGAAATAAAAAAAGGAGATTTTCATTATGTTTAGTTTAAGACTGGTTTAACATAGCTGGTTGCAATGTAGAAAACTTGTTTTCTAGAGATGTGTTTCTCCATGCTTTTCATCCTAGGTATTCATATCTTCTAGTTGTTGTGACCAAGCTGGCTGAGACAAATGGCTCTTGCCCAGATGGGATTCTGTGGAAATAGCAGAGGAACAGGGATCTTAAACATCTCCTGGTGCCAGTTATTTTGTTTTGAAGTGGTTGGGTAGGCAATTTTTTTCCATTACTTCCTCATGAATTGCTGGCAGTGAAACACATTTATATGCACATGTAAGGGAATAAGCTGTTTCCTCAATGTGAGTTTAGCGGAATGAGTTGGAATGTGACAGGGCACACCCAATTCTAGCATAAGCACATATCAGATGAAGTATATAGTACCATGGCACTATATACTTCAGCTAGTCTAATGTAGACCTCTTGGTCACTTCAAGTGAGACATTTCCCCTTCTAGTGTCATTATTTCTTTGTTTCCAAAATGTTGAAACAATGACATCAATGATGACCTTTACAATCTCTTCCTCGAACATACTCCTTCCTTCTGTAGTCCATTAGAAGGCAAGCTTTCTGCTTCTGGGATTAGGGATGCATACGTAAGTTCTGACCATGCTAAGTTGCTGGGATAGGCTTCCTAAATCATACAGCTGGATCACCCTCTTCCTAAGTTGCCCTTTGTCTGAGACTTTGTGTACTTTATTCTGGAATTTGCCACGTGGCTTGAAACACAACCTCAGAAATAGCTTTCCTTGGTCTGCATGAGGGTAATTTCCCTGAAGGAAAAATCTGTGTTGGAACATGATAAAGTGAGTGGATTATGAGGATTTAGTTCCATGGATTTTCATGTGGGAATTACTAAGGAAAGAAAATTGCTTAGTGATA